ATTGCCCGAAAACAACCTTCTTTCTGGAAACTGAGATACTCCCAGAGGCTACCTTTCAGCACAATAGCAGACAAGACTCTCAAACAAAAATCCTGGGGGGCATTGTGGGTTAATGCACTGGACTGCACAAGCAATTTGAACTGCAAACTTGGCAGTTCAAACTCACCTGTTCAAACTCACCAGCCCCTCCTCAGAAACCCTATACAGGGTTGCCATAGGTCGGAACTGACTCTATGGCACTTAATACAATAATAAATCAAACACACAATAGCACCCCTAAAGAATGTGGTCCTTAGAACAATCAACTACAGGAGACCAAAAGAGCAATATTTGCCAAAAACCAAAATGAGAAGGCAAGAAGGGACAGAGAAACTGGACAAATGGAAATGGGAAACCCAGAGAAGAAATAGGGAGAGTTCTGACCCATTGCAGAGATTGCAGCCAACATCACAGAACAATGTGTGTATGAACTACTGTTTGGAAAATTAACTTGCTATATAAGCTTTCACTGAAACACAGCAAAATAGTTAAAGAGAGAGTAGAGGTTCTGCCAGCTTATAATTATGCTACAAATTTCTCCATATCCTTGTCAAAATTCATAATGTCATACAAGTTCATTTTAGTCTTTATCCGACAATTAGTCTTTCTGGGTAGCTTTGTGAGTATTGTTTGTGGTAAACATCTTCTCCCAGTCTACTGACCTTGGTGATGGTGTCTTCTGATGCATAGTCATTTTCATTTTTAAGTAATTTAATCTATCTATCCTCCCCATACTCACCTACATCGGAAATCACGCTAAATACAATGTCCATAAGATGAAAACAGAGTAGCAACAAGTGGGACCTGGCTTGAGGAGCCCTTCTCAAGTGGCAGTGAACCCTCCCCACAGAGACAAGAATGTGTTCTCCTTGACATTACAAAGCCCAGAGGCTACTACACCACCCAGGTAAACAACTCACTCAGCAGGGATTACATACCAACAGGTCAGAAGAATGTAACTCACTTGAAATTCTTGTTAATAACTTTTTTTTTTAAGTTTTTATTGTTAATAACTTCTTCATATAAAAAAATACCAGTGTCATTTTTCAGACTTACTAATAAGCCCAGAAGTGAATCACTGTAAACCTACTACTATATGATCTAACAATAGGAGGCCCTATCAACCTCTAATGGTAAATTATTGGTCCATCTTACGTACCTATCAATATTGTTTAAACAATTAACTTTTATTTTCTTTCCTTAACTTCCAGGACACAATGCTGTCCTGGTTGTTTTCCTATGTCACTGGTCTCTTTAACACTCTCCTTTCCAGTTCATTTTCATTTTCTCCAAGGCTCAGTTCTCAGATCTATTTACTTCTCTCTATATTCAGCCATCCTTTTGG